CTCGGTAGGAAACTACAGCGAACTGGGGGAGCGGGGCCAGGTGGCCCGGGGGTAACAGCGCAAGGAGGGCGGAGGCAGAGACGGCTTTTTTTGTTTTTTTTTTTGTTTTTTTTAAGTATTGCCTTCTGAGCTCCAAGGCTTGGAGAGAAGCCTGAGTCTCGAGACCCCTGCCTCATCCGAGTCGGCGACGCGGACAGCCAGACAGATGAGCCACAGAGGCCGGCCACGCGCGAGAGATCCGGGGAGGAGCAATTCTTTCTGGGCTTGGGGCGCCGAGGAGTAAATGCAACGCCGCCACCTCTCCAAAAGTTTTCTTTTCTGAGGATTTTTGAAAGACTCCTCCCTTTGTAAGGCTAGTGTAGAATGAAGCGGCGACCTCTCGCCCAAAAGACTAGCAGGAGAGCGTGAGTAAAGCATAGGGCGGCAGTGGGAGCAGAGTAGATGTCTCAGGTCAGCTCCACCGCTCTGGGGAGCAAGTGGAGAGAGGTTCGCGACCCTCACCTTCCACCGAACCCCTTTCCGCGCGTTACCAATCAACACTTCCCTTCTAGTTGATCTAGAAATCCACTCTCCACCCCCAGCACTCCTCCTAACCCCAGCCAGAGAGGCAGGAAAAACAATACTAGCGCCAATATTTCCCGACACTCACACCCCAAGAAGCCCACGCAAGGGCGCTCAAATCAAACGAGTCCCTATCCCTAGCAAGCCGTCGCAGAGTTCATGAACTTTCGGTGCAGTGCTGCGGAGGCCCGGGCGCCGCCCGGCGGACTAGTGGCTCGGGCGGGCGGGGAGGACGCGGTGGCGAGTGCCTGCGGGGGCGGGAAGGGGCGGAGGGGAAAGGAAGCCAACCCGGTCGCCCCAGCAGCGGGAAGCACGCCGCGTACCTTTCCTTGGCCTCGGCGGCCCGGTCTCTTTGCCTCCGGTTCTTAAACCAATTGCTGACCTGGGTGGTGGTGAGGCCGGTGGCTTCGGCCAGCTCCCGCTTCTCACGCGGCGAGGGGTAGGGGTTATGTGCGTACCACTCCCGCAGTACGCCCCGCGACTTCTCCTTGAAGCAGTAGCTGGTCTCCTCGCCGTCCCAGATGGTGCGCGGCAGCGGGAATTTTCGGCGCACCCGATATTTGCCCACGGCACCCAGGGGCCGGCCGCGCAGTTTCTCTGCCTCCACGTAGTGCGCCTTCAGCCACAGTTGCTGCAACTTGGGGTGGTTGTGAGGCGAGAACTGGTGGCTCTCCAGGATCTTGTAGAGCTCGCGGAAGTTGCCGCGGTGGAAGGCGACCACGGCCTTGGCCTTGAGCACGCTCTCGTTCTTATGCAGGTGGTCGCAAGCGGGCAGTGACCACAGGAACCTGCCCAAGCGCTCCAGGTTCCCGCCTTGCTGCAGAACCTCGCACACGCACGCCACTTGCTCCTGCGTAAAGCCGAACGACGGCAGCATCGACATGGCTGGGGCCTGCCGGGGCGCACTGCCCGGGCGCACGCGGCAGGGAGCAGAGCCGAAAAAGCAGGGGGCGGCAGCCGAAGGGAGGGGGGTGCGGCTGCTCCTAACCCCCTCCCTAGGCTTTCCCCAGACGAAAAAGCAAGTTGAGATTTGGGGATGGGCGGCCCAGGAAGAGGAGGAAGAAGACTGGGGCGCACGCAGGACGCGGAGCGGCCAGCTCACTCCGCAGCCTTTCGGGCCTTGCTGGTTTCGGCCTCCCGCCGGGTGGATGCTGCTGGTTGCCGGGGAACTTGGTTTCTGTTCTCCCGTCAGCTGCCTTAAAGCGCGCAGCGTCTCCGGAGCGCTGATTGGCTGAGGACGGCGCCTATCCGGGGCTGGCCAGCCCGCGCACCGCCCGCCAGGGCTAGGAGGCCGCACCGCCCCGCGCGGGGAGGGCGAGGCTGTGGAGAAGGGGAAAAAAAAAAAGGACCCGGAGAGGTGGGAAACGAGGTGGAGGGCGGGGGGTGTGGGGTGGGCGGAGGCGGAGGTAATAAGGTGGCGGCGCTGCCCGGGAGCGGGAGGCGGTTGGGAGTGGGTGAGCGCGTCAGGACCCTGCAACGTGAGTCCCCCTCTCCAGTGTCACCTAAGGGCAGCCGCGCACATCTCTATGCAAATCAATGACTCTAGGTCTTCTAATTCCCCCTCCTCTCCCTGTACTCCTGTCCCTGTCCCTTGCAGACGTGCCCTTTCCGAGTGAGCTCATATTTAATTACCTTAATGTTGGAATGAATAAATAATGGGTTGATAAATAGCTTATGGAATGGAATAAATAATATAAAAGCACACTAGAGCTTCGGGCTGCAGCCTCTGGAAGAGTGGCTTCTCTCCGGGCTGGCTTCAGCTCCAGGAGCCAAACCTAATTCTCTCCTCCTTTCTCCTCGCCCCCACCCCATGCCCCCACCGCCCTCCAAAGAGCACGTGTACTCCCAACTGGAATAGCGCTCCCCTTATTCTCAGAAGCCTGCGACTATTTGGGCTCGCGCAAAGAGCTGTTTTAGAGCATAGTGGAGGAGCAGAGAAAGATTCCAAGGGTTCATTAGTGACTTGGTATCTTAATGTTCTATGGTTTTAGCCTGCAGGCTTCTGACTCAGTTTCTGCATCTGCGAGGTTGCATTTTCCAAGGCCACCTTTGCTACTGCGGAATGACCAGAAGCTTTATTTATTATTAGCAAAATGCTTTAGGAACCTCGTACGGAAGGTGCTGGATGGGGTGTAAATTAAATAAAAATGTGTCCGGCTCCAGTAGCCCTCTGGTTGTAATATAATCCTTGCCCTGCTCGGAGAGGGACGCTTCCCTCAAACTGAGGACGACAGTGGCTCCAAGAAGATTAAATAAAAGAAGGGGTGTGTGTGTGCGTGTGTGTGCGTGTGTGTGTGTGCGTGCGTTGCAATGCTAGCCTACTTTACTGCCAGGGAATGAGAGATGTCCTGCAATTGCGGTCCCATCATCTGTTATTTTGTATATGTATAGAGAATACTTAGTAAAACTGCTCAAACAAATGAAGCTGTAATTATCTTAAGCCTCATTTGCACACCTTGTTCCAAAGCAATTACTAAAAAGATTTTGAAAACAATTAGCGTTTCTAAACAAAGATAATCTATTGTCAGTAGCTGAGACTGGCAGAAGATAAGAACAATGTGCTGAGATAAGGGGAGCCGAGTGGTTGAAGGAGAGTGACTTTATGACTATACTTATCTCTGATTAGATAAGTTCAAAACAGAATTGTAAGTACACTTCAAAAATACTTTTGATTTAAATGCACCCTCTTAGTGAATGCAAAGAACAAACTCAAGGCTCTTTAAACTTGCTTGTCTTCTTTAAATGTTTTGATTCCATCAGACAGAGCCCAGATTCACAGAACCCTTTGCGTATTGAGACAAAATGGGAGAATAGAAGCATTGTGTGGGTTTTCCCTTGTATTATTTATATGGTTTTAAGATAATGCACTCAGCCCAGTGTATCCTGCAATATACATTTTAAACTTAGGAAGGGTTTCCCCTTCCTGGCTGACTCTTGAGATATTCCAAGTAGAGAGAAGCTGCTTCTCTGCTGAACTCCCAAAACAATGCTTTTTGCATCATTGAAAATCTGCAGTATCTCATGCAATTAGATCTTGGAAACAGATGCTGATATTTCATTACATTTGGCATTATTTTAAAGTGTATTTAATAGGTGCATATTATTTCAAAAGAGCCCCTACCACATGGTACGCCCAATGACTTATTTTCTAAACTGGAAGCCTGGCATGGCTGAGCCCAAGCCCATGTGTCTGGTAATTTTCCCTCGCCATCTTATTTTAGTACTCATGATGTTTCAGATGAAGTTTTAAGAGGCGGCAGTGTCCTGCCAGAAGGAATGTCTGCTTGGAACAGTCCTTACTGACATGGCAGCTGTGTGAGGACCAGAACAGAGTTTTAAACTCGGCTCTAAAACTCAGTTAATACCCTAAAGTCTGGAGCAAGTGCGCAGAATTAGGATATGTGTGTCGTGGGGCAGGTGCCTGTAAGTACAGTCACAGCTCTCAAAAGATAAACGGTAAGTTGAGTACGGGGTGTACTTTATAATGAACAATTTTGTATAAGGAAATGAGGCATAGCTTGGACAAATAACGGCAGGTATAAATTTACAGGGGAGGAGGGGGAGCCGAAAGATAGCAATTAGACACCAATATGACCACTTTTTTTCCTGCTTCCTCCAAACCTTCCTGCCCACTTCTTTTCATCTCTCTTCAAAAGGAACCAGGACATACTAGACACTGGCGACAAGTGGGAAGATGACCGCGTGGACACCATGATTGCGGAGACCGGGATTGATGAGCAGTGGTGATCATCCTCAGGCCGTGCCCGGGCCCGCTAGCTTTTCTCCGTGCGCTTAATCCAACAGATCGCGTAACTGGAAAGGAAAAGTGCCATTCGCTTTGTACTAACGAGCCTACCTGCTATTTCGATCCCTTGGATAGGGGAACCAATTGTTATAAATGTTAATTATTGGCTCGGATATATAAGGTTTCCCAAAATGGAACCTTTCACTGAAAACCACTAAAAGAAGTAAAATGACATGAATTTACAAACCACATAAACCAAATGATCCATTTTAAATCGCACACAGAAAGGTTTGGGTTGTTCTAGTAACTTAAAACCTTCGCTGTCAATGCAAATCACAAGAAAAACAGAGATGCGTCCGAGATTTAAAGGGAACGACCAACTCTAGCTGCTGCCCTCACCGCATCGCGGCTCCCGAGGGTAACGCGGCTGGTGAGCGGTGTCCGACGCCAAGTTTCAGCTCTTCTGTATCTCTTCTGTACAGGTAATGGCCGGGGGTGCGCACAACTGGTCTACAGAAAGACCAATGCGGAGGCACTAGTTGCTACTGCGATTTCTGGCTGGGCTGACATAAGGCCTTGGTTCAAAAATTTCTGGCTGGGTCCCACTTGTTTCCCTTCTGGCTTGGAGCGAGATGCTTTGGTGCTCTGGGCCCGCTTTCTTGGAATTCCTTCGCCATCAAGAAGGACAGCGGGAATCCTACTCTACCTACAGATATTTGGAAGGGAAGAGCATCTGGAGGTGTTCAGTAAATTAGCGTCGTCGCTCTAGGGCAGTGCAGGGACTCCCCCAAAGACGAATGTGACAACATAACATTCGTCTTTTTCTTCTTCTTGGTCGGAAACTCCGGGTGCCTTCGGCCATTGGGATCCCGGACTCGGACGGCCGGCGCAGCGCGGGAGCAGCCGCCCACCTGCCTCCTGGGGGATTTCACTCCTGGAGAGGTCTGAATAGGCCGAGGGCTCAGGCAGGGCGGTTTGCGGACCAGGAGAAGAGAAACCCAAAACCAGTCCATTAGTAAATGAGTTTTGTGTTGTCAAGGTTCTTTCCCATCCACTTGCTGTTCTGAAAAATAGATCACGTTTCGTTATCTTTAGTGGGAATCTGCAACGTGACACCGGATCCGCACGGCCCCCGCCTCTCTCCCTCCCTCTCTTTCAGCCATGCTAGGCCGGACCGAGGGAGAGCCGGCCGGCCTCCACGGCTTATTTCTGAACAATGAAGATTTGTCTAATCTCTTAATATATTTATGTATGTATGGAGGGAGTTTTCTCCTGGAAGCGGGAAGCCTGCGAGCAGAACCTCCCGCTTTTTCCTTGGTGCGAAAACTCAGCGCTAGCCCAAGACGCGAGGGGAGAAGGGGGACCGTCGACCCCCGACCCCCGACCCCCGCCCTCACCCACACCTGGACAAACAGAGCTTCCAGCCCCGCTTGCTGCTAAAAACGCTGCCGCCCCGCGCGGCTCCTGAAAATACAGTCTCCACATTGTCCCGGGGCGGGGGGAGGGAGAGAGAGAGAGAGAGAAAGACTGAGAGACAACACTTCGAGAGAATTCAGATTGCAGGGGAACAGAGCTGAGATGTGTGTATTTGGAGGGGTTATCCTCTCTGTGTGTGTGTGTGTCCCCACGTCTGGTCTCTCTATGAATCTCTCTCTCTCTCTCTCTCTCTCTCTCTCTCTCTCTCTCTCTCTCTCTCTCTCTCTCTCATTCTCTTTTCAGTCTGAAAGAGGAAGCTCATTATTCTGTGTGTGAACCTGTTTCTCATTCTTTAATTCTCTTTCAGTCTATCTTATTTCTATCTCACCTTCTCTCCCTCTTTT